AGACTATAGCCATGATACATTGTACCCAGCAAAATTAACAGTAATTCTTTAATATGTTAGGATTCTCCAGAGAAACAGAACCAATGGAGGTGGGCATGTATGTGTGATTTATTATAACGTATTGGTTCACATGATTATGGAGGCAGAGAATTGGGAGGTGGAAAGGGTGGGGAAGACATCTTTCTGATTAATCAGTAATTCTGTTAACTGTTCTGAGAACCTCTCCTTTCAGAACAGAATCTTGACAGCTTACCTTGCCCACATCTGCCACTTCAAGACCAGAGCAGCTCCAGAGGGCCTTCAACAAGATGTTGGGGACAACACCCTTTCTGTCAAGATTTACTTTGCTAATTGCACTTCTGTTCACATTGCCCTCCCAGTGGCTGCCTCACCAGCCCCATAGGAAGAAGACCATTTGTTTTTGGGTGGGGACTATAAAGATATGTCTGTGTTTCCAAGATCTAATGTTAGTTCTCATTCTGTTCTCTTGTAAAGACAGCATTTATTCAGGTGTTAATAATCGGAGGAATCTGCACATCACAAATACCAGGGAGCTTTGTGAATAAATACAGATTCCTGATTCTGCACCAGACTTTATTAATCAGATGTCTTGATGCTGCAGTGACCGAACCTGTATTTAAAAAAATAGCTCCCCAAGTGATTCTGATGAAACATCGGTTATGTAGATCACCATTTAGGAAACAGTTACCTAGATGGTCTTTGGAGCTGGGAGAGTCATGAGATGGGAATGTGAGGAGAAAACCCGGTTGAACTATCCACAGTGTCCACATGAAATATTGACGCAGATTTTCTTCTATCTAGTAGCAGTGGGAACTCTTTGGGGTGGATAGATACAGGAGAGATCTCCAGACCCTCCCAACTGTGGTATGTACATTCTGGAATGAAGGGGACTTCCTGGATTTACCAAAAAAAAAAAAATTTCCTTGTTCAGATGCACTTAGACATTCACTTTGGGGGCGCTCACGGAAAACAACCAAGCTCCTAGGGGTTCTCTCCCAGTGAGGTCCTAGAGCTGAGGATGAAGCAAGACTTCCATTGTCCTGCTGTGTGCTGTGGCAGCCACAAGGTGGAGCTCCATTTCCAGTGAGTTAGTTTTCATAAACAGATTTATAATCTAATAAATCCAGATTTAGAGAATTTCAGTGCCGGTATGAATGGGTCACCCTACTTCAAGCAGCCTAAATCCAGAAGCGATGAAGCTTTCCAGGTATAAATGAAAAGGGACCTGAATTTGATATTTTTTCTTAACTTTTAAAATGTGGACTATAACAGACCTAAAGGGAAAAAAATGAATAAAAGATGAAAATGAAGATTAATACATTTTTATTAAAGAAACATCTATGTACCCCTAGCAAGTCAAGACATAGATCACTATCGGCATTCCAGAAGCCACCTGTCACACATACTTTTACTCATCCTCTTCTCTCCCTCCTTCTGACTGTAAACACTGTCTTGACTATTATGCTAATCAATTCATCACTTTCCTTTATACTTTTACCACATAGTTATGTATCCCTAAACTGTATAGTTTAATTTTGTTAATCAAAATTATCTTTAAAATAAATGGAATCATGCTGTACATGCTCTGTCTTTTATTTTCTCAACATGATATCTAAGATTCATCTATGTAGATGCATTTTTTTTTTTTGAGGAAGATCGGCCCTGAGCTAACATCTGCCAATCCTCCTCTTTTTTTGCTGAGAAAGATTGGCCCTGAGCTAACATGCATGCCCATCTTCCTCCACTTTATATGGGATGCCGCCACAGCATGGGTTGACAAGCGGTGCATCGGTGAGCGCTCGGGATCCAAACTGGCGCACCCGGGGCTGCCACAGCGGAGCATGCACACTTAACCGCTTGCGCCACCGGGCTGGCCCCGATGCATTTTTTTTTAAAGTTTATTGCTGAATAATAATTTACTCTCTGAATACCCTACAATTTGTTCAGTGTATTGTTGATGAATTTTTGGGTTCTTTACAGTTTTGGCCTATCATGAATAATTCTGCAATGAACATTTGTGAACACGTATGTTGTTGAACATGAATACATATAATTGAGGGTATGTGGGATTGCTGGGTATAAGAGAGTCTTTATAAAAAAAATCTTAACAGGAATTTCAAGTATACACAAAAGTAAAGAAAATAGTCTAATGAATCACCAGCTTCACTAATTGTAAATATTTTGCCAATCTTATCGCATTTTTCTTCCCCTTTCGTTTTTCTACTCGAATGTTTTAAAGCAAGTTTCAAACATTCCGTGGTAAATTGCTTCCATCTCTATCTCTAACAGATAAGGATTTTAAAAACAATAGCCCAATACCCCTGTTACACCCAGAGAAATTTACAGTAATTTCTTGATTGGATTGATCTTTCCTGGCCAGCCTAATCAGCCTTCTATATATACACCAAGAAAAGTCATCTTCCTAAGAGAGATTAGTAATGGGCCTTATAACCCTAGCAATAGATAAGAGCAGAGAAGTCAACTAAATTATGTCATCTTTTACCCTCCAGATAAACCCACGCACACACAAAGGGACGTGTGTGCACAGTTATGCATTGTTGGTAACAGCACAAGATTAGAAACAATTTAAATGTTCATTAATATGTGACTGATTATTAAATTTGGTTATATCTACCCAGTGGAATACAGTGCAAGTATTAAAAAGAATGAGGGTTGGGGCCGGACCTGTGGCGTAGCAGTTAAGTGCATGCCCTCTGCTGCTGGCAGCCCAGGTTTCAGATCCCAAGGGCATCGATGCACTGCTTGTCAGGCCATGCTGTGGCAGCATCCCATGTAAAGTGGAGGAAGATGGGCACAGATGTTAGCCCAGGGCCAGTCTTCCTCAGCAAAAAGAGGAGGATTGGCATGGCTGTTAGCTTAGGGCTGATATTCCTCACAAAAAAAAAAAAAAAAAAAAAAAAAGAATGAGGAAGCTCTTCATGTACTGATGTGATGCAACTGTTGCATCTTATTCCTCAGAATTTACTCAAATCTAGCTGGAAGGATGGCTGAGAAAAGTATTGTTTTAGGTGGATGAATTTCCACCGACTTCTGTTAATGAAGGAGGGGGATGAATACTGGGTAGGAAGCTGTCCATCTCTACCACATCCTACCCCTTTCTGTACTCAGCATCCCTGTATACTTCCCTCCCCAAAGAGAAGTCATCCCATCCTTCCCAAGGTCGATGGCCCCAAAGTTTTATTTTGGAGTTTTTGACTCAATCAGGTTTAGGTATGTTTCTTTGTGGTAAGTGTTCCATAAACTTAAACGTATCTTCAGCTTCCAGAGACCCAACATACAATGGTGCAATGGGAAGTAGGCGTCCACAGTGAAAACTCCCAATGAAGAAAAGAAACATGGGGAGGATGTAGCCAGCACTATTCTGTTGCAATTAAGCAAGGCTAGAGGGCAGGAATAGCAAGAATTGCCTGCCCTGGCAGTGGAGGAAGTTTCTTAATGAGCCAGTTGGAAGCACTGCTTCTCTGTCTACAGGATGTGCACCGTCCTTCATGGCTCCTGCTTTGCCCTCCTGCATTTCTTACTTGTTCCTTATTTTCTATGGCCACACCTTAGTTGTGCATTAAAGAGTATACATTTATTGGGAACTGAAAAACATTTCTAGGAGTCGAGAATGCAAATGAAATGGGTAAACTGCGCTGCACTGGAATTGCAAAAACTTTAGAGATAACACGAGGGAAAGGGAGAAGGATGACTGAGTAAAGCAGTGATGTGGGTGAAGGACTTTTGAAAACAAGACGAATATTTATTTTGAATTCTTTCTTTTGCCACTGCATCAGGAAAGTGTGTTAGGCAATGAAGGACAGTTTGTGATTATTTGCAGAAAACAAGGAAAAAGGCTGAGTACTATACGGATTGATTTATTTCAAAGCCAAGTCATCAAGCAACAGTTAACCAAATACTTTACTTGCAGCAGAAACTCAAAACCACAGGTGTTTATAAAAATGTAAACCACATAGGAATTTGTAAAAGTTGTGGGCACAGGGGTGAGAGTTCACTGGACGTGGCCCAAGGCATGATACGAGGGTCAGAGATAATTTTAACCAGACATTGAAGGTTCTCACGTGACACCTGGGTGATACTATTGTTTATTGATTCATTAATTCAATAACTATTTCTTGAGACTCTATCACATATCAGGCACTATTTTACACATAAGGTATGGAGATCCATCAGCAAACAATACAGACCAAAATCCCTGCCCTCAGCTTACATTGTCATTACGTGAAGGAAACCATACCACACGCTGTCCACAGTTACTATACTGTTTCAGGCCAGTAAGTGTGACAGTTACTTTCATTTGGGTGAAATGGCTAAATTCCTTGAAAGTCACGTTTACCAAAACTGACAGAAGAGGAAATAGAAAATCTGAATAGTCCAATAACTATTAAAGAAATTGAACCTGTCATTAAAAGCCTTCTCAGAAGGAAAACCTAAGACTCCATTGGCTTCAGTGGCCAATTTCTCTAAACATTTATAAAAGATATAACTCCAGAGAATAGAATCAGAGGAGTCCCTTCCCAACTCTTTTTAGGAGGCCATTATAAGTTTGATGTAAAACCTGACAAGAACATTAGAGGAAAGTAAAATAACAGACCCATCTTTACATGAACGTAAATGCAGAAATTCTAAACAATCTAGTGAGATTAATTATAAATATAAAAAACACATCATGACCAAGTGTGATTTATTCTAGGAATGCACGATAGTTTAACATTAAAAAATTAATGTAATTTGTGATGATGTAAATAAAAGGATAAAAATAGTATGATCATCTTGTTATGCAGGAAATGCATTAGATACAGTCCAATAGCCATTCATGATTTAAAAAAGAACAATCTTAGTAAAGTAGGAATAGAAAACTTCTGGAGTCTGATGCAAAATAGTTTAAAAAAAACCCTACAGCAAACATCTTACTTAATGGTGAAATAATAAAGTTTTCCTCTTGATAGATTCTCCCATCTAAGCTTCACAAATTCCCCATCACTCTTTCTCTTGTTCTCTTTTCCCACCTCCAGTTACCCCAGGGTATAGGCTGAGGTCCAAAAACCAAAAATGACACCAACGGTACCCTTATGTCCTTCTTCCCCCCAAATCACGGGGCACCAGAGTGTTTTTCATAGTGAGTGGCTCAGGATGACCCAAGATAAGAAGCTGGAACTGGGAGCAAAGTAGGAGCAGGCAGAGCTCAAAAATGTCCCCCAGCCCTCCTCACATTGCCTCTAACTCGACCTCTGCAGAAAGTGAAGCAGATTTGGTTGTTGTGTCACTAGTCTGGGCTGAGTCCTCGCTCAGGGCCCTCTCCAGACTTGCAGGCAGGGAGTGGATCAGTCTCTTTCGGAAGTCTTGACCCACGAAGACATAGAGTATTGGGTTGAGGCAGCTGTTGAAGAAGGCCAGGGAGCTTGTTGGGAGAAGCAGGACAGTAACGATTTCGTACTTCCCTTCAAAAAGTATCTCCTTGATCCAGATTGTGTCCAGAAGGGCCATCAGTTGAAAGGGGAACCAACAGAGAAAGAAGGAAGCCACAACAGCAGTGAGGAGCCGTAAGGTACGGCTGGATTTAATCATGTTTTTTTTATGCATCCTGGCAGCAATGAGCCCATAGCAGATAGCAACGATAGACATTGGCATACTGAAGCCAATGATAAACCGGATGATCCCTCTGGCCGTCAACACCGTTATGGCCACCTTGATCTTCTCATCAGTGGTGCTACCCCAGGATCCAAAGTTGAAAGTACAGTATGTATTCCCTGTCGGATCCTTTATTGTGGTCACAAAGATTAAAACTTGGAAGGTAAGGACTAGAGCAAGAATCCAGGGTGCAATGATCACTTTTGTAGCCAGACCTACAGTGCGGTGGTTCTGGGCCCAGATTGGATGCAGGACACAAATACAGCGGTCTAGGGCAATGAAAGCAATTAGGAAGACACTTCCAAACAGGTTGATGTCCACCACGATGTTAACTAGCTTGCATAGGAACCAGCCAAAAGGCCATTGCTCTCTCATCACCATTGAGACAAAGAGGAATGGGACAGTAGCAGTGAAAGAGAAGTCGGCTATGGCCAGATTCAGGTAACAGAGTGTAGTGACTGTGCGTGGCATCCGGAATCCAGCCACCCAGATCACAAGCCCATTGCCCAGGATGCCGAGGACAAAGGTGATCCCAAGTATCACCAATGAGATGATCAGCACAACGGTGTAGCCAGGAGGATCATAGAACATCTCATGAGATCCATTCAGAGGGAAGGAGAAGTTGGTTTCCATCTTGCCCACACCTGAAACATGTCAACAATGACCATTTCTCAGCTGTGGAACCCTCTTACAGCATCCCTATTCATGGCCAGCATTGGCTTCCATTCAACCTCCCACTCCAACCAGAATGCCCACTCTACTGACCCTGCAGCCAGTCCTACTATAAAATTGGCACTCCCTTGGCTGTTCCTTAGGGAAAGGATAGTTCTCCATTTCACATAATTATTAATATGCCTTCAGCCTATCAGGCTGATTACTTAACCAAGAGGATTACAAAAATCCTGTCCACCAGCAGAATACTGAACTGAAGGTGTATAGACAACAGAAATTGATGAGAGGCAGCTTCAGCAGAGTGAGGGAAGCACTAGACTCAGAGTCAGTAGGTTCACATCTTCTTCCACCCATGACTCAATGCACAGATGCTGGCAAGCGTGCAGCCTCCTTCAGCTCCAGGCTCTCCCAGACTCCCAGCTCCTGTCCCTCCCCTCTGTGAGGACCCTTGACCTATTGTTTGGTTAGTCTGTAAGTTAAAGTTTTAGAGTTTGGTTTGAGTTTAAAGTTGACGAGGATCTTGAACAGTTACTGGTAATATGTAGTAATATGTTATGTCCTGTGGACTCGGTGAAGGGAGGAAGTCGGTGAAGGGGGCCCTATCTCTGCGTTCAACCCTCTGTTTTTCATTGTCTCTGCTTCTTATGGACCTCTCCTCTATTTGGGATGCAAAGAATTCTCACCCATTGCACATCTTTAGCATTCTGTGGGATAAAGAGTATGAGAGTAATAAGTTTTGTTAATAATATTTGTGGGGTTCTTATTAGAGACCATGCATTGTGTTAATTGCAGTATATAGGGATCTAGTTTGATCTACATAACAAGTCTATAATGTTTGTTATTTCTAGTTTTTATTTCTAGTTATATTGTTCAGAGCAGTTATGAAACCTGCCGGAGGTCACTTAAGTAGTAACTGGCAGAGGAAGGACTTCAATCCAGCTTGATCTGACTTCCAAGTCTTTTCTTCATGACAACTGTGCATTGCTGGTTGTGAACAACATTGCTGGTTGCCCACCCGATATCCATTCCCCCGTTCTTCTCTGCTAACCAAACCACAATTTGGTTTAGTAACTCACCCTTCAGGGAAGATGTCCCTTGCTCCATCTTTGGAGGCAAATCCTCATTAGTCTCACTAGTAACTGGAATCCCCTTTGCTTTGCCAAGGATTGTTTTAGCAGGGGGCACATGACTAAATCCTGGACAATAACACCATGGGAAAATATCCTGGGAGCTCTGTGATAGATTTCCTTGCTCTTAAGAATGAGAATCCAAAAGATTGTAGTGTCTGCCTTTGGACCAGGTCACATCTGTAACTATTGCCTCCAAATTCAACCCAGACGTCTGTGTGACCCCCATGTCCATGCCACCTGGCCAAATTTCCTCACGCTGCGGTGTGGTAGCTATCTCAAAAACATCTAGGGTGGCTGTTAAAATGCACACTCATGAGCCCCACCTTAGAATCTCTTTGCATAATAGCTAGGGTGATTTTCTATGGCCTCAAAAATTTGAGAATCATCTTACACTAGGCTATTCTGCCTCCTTAAGAGACATAGCAGTTACTGAGCACCTGTTCACGTTTAGTACTTGTAATAATATTGCAGGGTATCCATTATCGTCCATGTTTTATCAAGGGGAAACCATGGCCCCGGGGTTTCAGTAGTTTGTTCAACATCATGCCCAGCCAGTCAGTGGAGGCAGCAAACTTTGAAAACCAGATTTCACCAATTACAGAGCCACTGTCTTTGCCTCTCTAAAGTGCTGCCTTTTCAAGGGGTTCCCCCAAGATTACCTGGAGATGACATCTCCCAGGATGTTGATTTTCCTCCCTCCCTCCTTACCTTTCTCCCTTCCTTTTTTTGCTTCTTGCCTTTACCAGACACTTCCTCCCAAGTCGTCTATGGGACGTCGCTTGATGGAGTGCAGGGTTTCTCAACCTCGGCACCATTGACATTTGGGGCTCCATCATTCTTTGTTGTGGGGACTGCCCCTTACATTGTAGGATGTTTAGCAACATCCCTGGTCTCTATCTACCAGATGCCGGTAGCACCCCCTCCCGCCAGTTGTGACAATCAAAAGTGTCTACAGACATTGTCAAACATCCCCTGGGGGAAAATCACCCCCAGTTGAGAGTGCCTGTTACAGTGTAAGGAGTGCTGGGCTCTGGAGTTTGGTCAGTCTGTATTCTCATCTCATCTCTGACACCTGCCAAATGAGTTCTTGGTCAGTGAACATCTCTGCAAACTTCAGTTTCTTCCACTGCAGACTGGGGGTGATTTTGTGATGAAGACTGGTTTTCAGGTGAGGATTAGTGAGAACAGATATGGAAATCTTTTAGGCAGGACTGAGTGAGTCTTCAACAAATGAGAACTCTACATCCACACCTGACTGTATGCTATGTCCTGGGGCTCAACCCTGGGCCAGACATTGTGGAAGCTCAAGTTCATGTCAAGAACAATGCTCATAACAGTAGTGGTACTGCTCATGAATCTTTTCCATATGCCAAGAGCTTCTCTTTCCACCCTCATCATGACTCATCTCCTAGGGTTCCTGAGGATTGCATGTGTTAATATTTATAAAGCATCGAGCATACTCTGTGGCATTGTAAATGTACAATAATATTAGATATAATTAGCATAACCATTGTACAGAAGAGGAAATTAAGACTTCAACTGGTTACATTAATTGTTTAATGCCCCCGGTGAGGAAGGGGTAGAGCCAGAATTTGAGTTCAACCAGACTGATTCCACCAGTATTGTGCTTTTAAGTCTCTCCCACCGCATATTTCCTCAAGAGAGTCTGGTTCACTCTACCCACCCATTAACACCCTACAAAGCACTCAGAAGATACGATGTTCTCAATAATCTCTAAATTGTTCCTTTAAAAATGTTGATACAACAAAGAAGGATGGTTGTGCAATGACAGCTGGGGAAAGGCCAGTGAGGTAAAGTTGTAAATTTATGGGACCAGCCTCATTGCAGGGTGGGAGAGAATCTATGACCACAGGTAATAGTCGGCTGGACTATGGTGGCTGCTATTTGGTGAGCCCCTAATATGTACCAGTCACTGTACATTTCATCATCTCTAATTACAACATCCTTGCTTTTGCATAAGTATCATCATCGTGTATTACAAGAGGAAACCATAACTCTGGCCGGGGAAGTGGGTGGCCCAATGTCACAATTATTAAGGGGTGTTCTGGATTTATGACCACAGATTTGAGATGGAAACTCCGCACTTGTTTGTTAGCTGACTCCTCTTCTCTAGCATATTAGCATTTCCATGCTTTGAAATAATGGTTTCAGTTCTGCTTTCTCCATGGACTTCCTCACCCCTTCCCACAACCCGACTCTCAGCTGATGCCTTTACCTCATATTTTAATGAGAAAACGGTAAAAATTAGTTGTGCACTTTTCAGCCTTCTCTCACCCAAATCCTGCAATCTGTCTGCACCTGTTGCAGGGAATAGAGTTCTTGTCCATTCCAAAGGCTACCCTCCACCCTATATTTGCTCTGGGTCCCTCTCTCTCTCACCTTCCCAGGAATTTTCCTCCTGCATCATCCCTTTTCTTTTCTGCCAAAACCCTCCCAAGATTTTCTTTCTACTAGATCGTTCTCACTGTCACCTAAATGTGATCATATCACCTCCCTTCAAAAAGAAACCATTCTTGGCCCACTTTCCTTTCCAGCTTCAGCACTGTTTCTCCAAGAGAATTCTTTCTGTGAAGAAGATTCACAGCCAAACTTAAGAAGGGAGTGTCTCCCCTTCCTTACCTCACATTTTTCTCCTAAAAACACTCCAAATTGACTTCGATCCTCAGCACTCCAAGGAATGTGCTCTCCTTAAGTGTGCTCATGGCTTCCATTTCTTATCCTGTTATCTCAGTGACATAGGACCCATTTGACGCCTTCTTCCTTCTTAAAACACATTTTTCTTATGCCATGAGATGATAAAATGTACACACAATGCACTTTTGGTTGTCTTTATAGCTCGCTTGACCACCTCTTTTCAGTCCAGTTTACTAGCTTTTTTGCCTCCAAATTTAACTCTGAGTTTTGAGGTGTCCTAGGGCTTGTAACTGTCCCCCTCCTTCCTCTATACAGTCTCACAGCTTGTAACATCTTACTGATAACTCCTGATCTAAACCATCAGCCCTGGCTTCTCCCCAGAACTCTAGCCTGGTATAACTGACTTCTTGACATTTCCCCATGGGAATGCCAGAGTCACCCCAAACCTAACATTGCCCAAACCAAACTCTTAATTGTTCCATCCTCCCAAGTTTGCCTCTCTCCCCGTATCTCTATGTATTTGGAGCTTAAACATTTGCTCGTTAAAGCTCCAAATCTGAAACTCACCCTCGATTTCCCTTTCCCTCACCACCCAGTCCAGTCCAAGTCTTTTGATTCTATCTGTCATGTCCATCACCACCTCCCTTGTCTGTGGCCTCATCTGAGCTGCATCTTGGCACAGACCTTGCAAATAGCTTGTTCCTGCTCCTGATGCTGCCACACCCCCCGTTCTGAAGAAGCCAAATGATGTTTCAAAAACACAAATCAGATCATGACATTATTCTGCTCAGTACCCTCCAGTGGCTTCCACACTCCTAATTCAAGCTTACCAAGCACTCCTGGATCTGCCCAGTCTGTCCCTCACACCTCATGCATCCGCTCTTACCTCACACACTGTGCTCGATCCACACTGAATTCCTTCGATTCCTTGAACACGCCAAGCTCACTGCCATCTCAGGGCCTTTGCATCCTCTTTTCCTTCTACCTGTAATGCTTTTCCTTTCAGGCTTCCCATATCTGGCTCTTTCTGAATATTCATATCTCAGCTTAGATATTTCATCCTCAGAGAGGTCCTGCCTGACCCACAATGCAAAGCAGCTACCCCAGGCACAGCCGATCTCACCAGATACTTTTCTTGTTTGTTTATCCATTCATTTATTTTCTATTCTTAACACCCTCCACACCAGTATGTAAGCTCCACAAGACTACCAAGTCCTTTCAGTGCTACATCCCTAGAGTAATGCTGTCCAATAAACACATAAATTGGAGCCATCAGTGCAAGCCGCATATGTGAGTTACACATATGTGACTTACAATTCCTTTTACAAAGTAACAGAAATTATTTTAATAATATATTAATGAATTTTAATAACATATTTTATTTAACCTAACATATCAAAAAGAATATTATTTGAACATGTAACCAATGTAAGATTATCAATGAGATATTTTACGTTCTTTTATCCTGCTAAGTCTTTGAACATACTAAATGCATTTTATGCTTGCAGCACATCTCAGGTCAATGACCATATGTGGCAAGTGGACGTTATGTTGGATAGCCCAGCTCTAGAGTTTAGGAGGCATCTGCCACATAGCAGACGTTCAAATAATTGTTTTTAAGTTGTCAGTCCCCCACCTTACCACCAGCTGAGATCCCTTTGCTCTGGCTGGTTCCTGGCTTCTTGTTGAGAATGTAGGCTGGAAGGGCTTCTGCAAATGCTTTATTGAAGGACAAGGGGGAGGGACAATGGAGCTGGAACCAATCAAGTGACAGAAACTCAGAGCTTCTTGCAGTTTCCAGAAAGCACCCTGGAGATGTTGTCAGCATACTCTCCTTAGAAACTTAACTAAGTGAACATTCCCCTCACCTCCAACCTTCTGGGGGAGACAGGAGTTCAGTCCTAGAATATCAAGGGTCAAGGAATCTGGGTGTCCACACCCTTTCTACTTTACAGATTCAGGAAAATGAAAGAAACAGTTACTGAGGTGAGAAGAATGAGGGGCAGGTAATGAAAAACAGAGATGATGGTTAAACAAAAACTTGCTTCTCTACTCACACAACACTCTGACAGCAAATGTGTGGCTTTTTTCTACACCAGCAATTCTCCAATTCCCTGTGGACCCCAACTGGGTGTTCAATTCAATTCAATTCTGACACTATCTATCTGGAGCAAGCATCAGATCCCACAAGTTAAAGGGCTCATCTCACAAGACTACCCCCACTACAGAAGCCACTTGTAAGTCCCAGGTGGCCACCTGTACTTCCGTCTGACCAGCTATAAATCAGAGGTTCTCATGACCCCCTCCTCAAGTTCAATAATATGCTAGAATAGCTTGCAGAACTCAGAAAAGCAATTTACTTATGTTTACCACTTTATTACATAAAGGATATAACTCAAGAACAGCCAAATGGAAGAAAGGCATAGGGCAAGGTATGGGGGAATGTGTGTGCACAGAGCTTCTATGTCCTCCCTGGGTGCACCACCCTCCCGACACCTTGATGTCTTCACCAACCCAGAAGCTTATCAAATCTTATTGTTCAAGAGATTTTATAGAGCTTAATCTCTAACCTCCCTCTGACCTCCCTTTCCCAGAGATCAGGGTATGGGGCTGAATATTCCAAGCTGTAACCCCTGGTCTTTCTGAGGCTCTCTAAGGGCCCCACCCTAAGTCACCTAATTAGCATAAACTCTGGTGTGATCAAAAAGAACTCCTTACCAATAAAAAAAGATAATTCTATCATTCGGGAAATCGAAAGGCTTTTAGGAGCCTTATGCCAGGAACCAGGCACAAAGACCAAATATATTTCTTATTATACCACAGTA